GGATGTTAAACTGTTCTCGTTTCTAAGAAACATGAATTTCCTGTCTAGCAAATTTCCAGAGGGATTTGGGGTGGGGTTCTTATGTCCAGAATTCCTCTTGTAGACTGAACTAGTGCAGTCTTTCTCTCATTGCAAAACAGCCGTTTTGGTCACTCTGTAAATTGAATGCACATGCTTCAGTGCATGCTTGTGTCTCTTCTGATTCTGAAATGATTTTGTGGCTATTTTTTTTTAAAACAATTTATGTGAGGAAAAAATATGTCAGTGAAACCATGCAGCTTTAATGTTCTTACCTGTATCTTAAAGGGGAAACTGTCCTCGTAAGCAAAATGGTCTATTTGGCTGAAGGCTACTGCTCTCTTAGTAACCAGCAATCACATGGGTCTTTTGTTTCAATTTGGGGTTTTGTTTCCCAAAAGTGGTTCTGCTGACAAATCTGAATATCATTTTCATAGAGGAATATGTACGAATGAGCTGGGGTTAAATTTCTGTAATAATTGAAAACACTTCCAATGATCAGTATGGACAAGCAGGATTTAGGAATTTTTCTGTGGCTATGGGGAGCAGGCTGATGGGTGCCTTGTGAAGCTTATTGTGCGTACTTGTTGCCAATAGGCCATAGAAAGTGCAATAGGTGGCAATACCTACCAGCACAGCAAGGTGAACCAGTGGACAACCAGTGTGGTGGAGCAAACGCTGAGCCAACTCACTAAGCTGGGGAAGCCTTTCAAGTATATTGGTGAGCTCAGTTTTCTCTTTGTTGTTAAAGCTGGTATAGACAAGTGCACTGATGGGTGGGGGTGGGGGAAGATATTGGCAAGTACCGTGTCTGTAAACTACTCATAAGCATGTGTGTATGTGCTGTGCTAAGCAAAAATGAACTGTTAATTGATGTCAGTGATAGATTAATAAAAGCTTCTCTACTAACAGTGACCTGTGTGATTATGCAAAAGAATGGTGCTGGGCTACATACAGCAAGCTCTTGCTTCTGGGACAACTCCAGTGATGGTAAGAAACACAGCTGTTGGACTTTTCAGCTCATCCCCTTAAGCCTAGGCAATATACTTTTGTGTTTTCCCAAGTGCTGCAGTTCTGGAGTAATAGCAAATACATTGGTGTGTTTTCTGTGTGGTTGTGGTGCCAGCTTGGCTACATATGAACTGTTTAGCTGTTGTGAAAGCTTCATGCTTAAGGTTCTAGATGTAAATTACAAACCTGCACATAAGGGTGTGCATGTAATCGCTGTTACACTCTTCTGTCTCTGAAACCCTTTTTTGTATTTGTAGGGACCTGCACTGTGAGATGGGAGAATAAGACTGTGTACTGTATTGTCAGTGCCTTTGGACTTGCAATCTGATTGCCTTGGAATCATTCACCCTTCTCTTTTCTACTTCAGCACCTAAGTCCACTTCTACTCAAACTGTGAATACACTGAACAACTTCTGGTTTTAATGTACTTTTTTAGTAACTTTTTTTCAAACGTAGAAGCGTGAAAACATGCTGTTACATGGTTTATGTTTGTTCTTAGTATTGTAGCAGTGTTGCCACACTGTCTTAACACTTCAAGAACTTCTCTTCAAGGTGCTAATACTGAAATCTGCTGCGGTGCACACTTTCTCTAGATTTCTTTTTTAAGACCAATCTAAATGAGACACTGATTTTCATACTTTGTACTTTTGGTTAGCATTAAATTATTGAAATTCATAACCATTGGTGTGATTCATTTACACTTAACCCTTGATATTTAAAAAGTTCCAAATCTTCTCATTCTCATTAAAGTAGCTGAGGTACATACCAGAATGCAAAGCACTTCCATAGTTGTGCCCAAGTCACTGCAAAATTGCAAGAAAATCAGATGATGTTTATTAGAAAGTAACTTGTCTGCATTTCTGGTACCTCTTTAATCTGATTGTATGGTTTTGAAGGCATGGAATGATAACAGAAATAACTATCTTCAGCAAAAAAGGGCAGCTAAGGTTTTCACATTCTAGGAGTGCTCAGCAAGCTGTACATGGGTAACCATTCACTCCCACAACCAGTTATGTGTGTTGAGTAGGTCTTTAACTTCCCTGTTATCCTCTGTGTTGGTTTTGGTGATGGTGTGTGATGAGCTCTGATAGCTGGTAAAGCATGAACCTTTCCAAAAAGGGAAAAACCAGCCTCAGGGGGACATGACTAAATAACATGTGAGTAAAGTCTCCTGCCTTCTAGAGTAAAGCTGTAGAGGAGGAACATGTAAGACTTGTTTTCTGCGTATGCTTGGGTAAGTTTTTGTCAGCTAATTGAAGAAATGGGAGCATGCTGTAAATTTCAGACTACCCCTATGAACTGCTGTGCTGCTGCTGGGAGCAGTAGCTCGGTGCTGGTGAAGTTGAAAGAATTACTCACAAAGCCAGCAGGGGAAGAGGATTCCAGGCTGGAGGCAGTGTGAGTGACCTGCATTTGCTTATGTTTAGGAAGCCCTGACACACATTTTCAGAATCTGGTTCTTGGCTGATGCCATTTGCAATGAGATCACTGCTGATGCAGTGTGTTTCCATGATCTGGAAAGATGCAATGCTGGAAACTCCAGCGCCAGCAGAGGGTTTGCTTTTGTGCTGGCTGCAGGGGTTTCTCTCTGCTGACTGCTCAGTGTAACCAAACAGACTGCAGAACTGCCCCCACTCCATGCTGGGCAAGGCTTTGACTCTTCCTACCCATTTCTGCTGTCAGCAGGTTTGGACTTTGTACCGTCAAGACTCTGAATACAGTTTAAAGGCTGACATGTTTCTGTTAGTGTACAAGTTTCAAAACAAACCTGTGGATGTGTCTCATTTATGACAGGTCACTTTATTCCAGCATATGTCCTAAGGAGTGTGATGGAGCTATAGAGTGTATATATACTGCATTTCTGTCTTAGAGAGCTTTAGAGCTAGTTTGACAAGAAACTTAATGCTGAGCATTCAGTGTCAGAAATGATACAACACCTGTAAAAAGAAAATACTAAAACAAAGATTGAATAAAGTGCCTGAAACTAGTCATCAGGGTGAGAGAGAAACTTGTTATAAAAAGAATAGATCTTTAATCTCTGAATTGCTAAGGACATTTGTATTTGATCTGGATGGTTATCTCCTTTCCATCAGCATTCCAGAAGGCGGCTGGTAGTGAAGCACCTCCTTAGCTGCTTGTTTACATTTAGAAGAAATAGTTTTGTGCACTTTGAGTCACTATTTACTTCTAGAAACACTTCACTTCTTGGCCAAGCTATTCAGACATTCCTTGTCCTTTGCTCATTCCAATAATAGCAAAGCCCTTGACATTTTTTATTTTTTTTAATTTGTGCTGTTTGTTTGTTGGTTTATGAAGGTGCTAAAGCACAGACAAAAATGTTTGTGATGCTTATCAGTGTAAGAGCTGCATGGGAGGAAAAAACCCAGTAACATTAAGTTTTACTCCAGAGGTAGATACTGGTTAATCTGTACTGCCACAGCCTCCTGAATCTCATCCTTATGCAATTAACCAAGTTTAAATACGCATAAGAAGATACATGTAAACTGCAAATACTAGATAGATGTAAGTTATGAAAATGGTGCTAGAAGGAAAATAGAACTAAGCTACAATATAAAGATATAAAACTTTATTATGAACATATTTAACAATGATTATGCACATGAAGTTGTCCAAGAAACTCAATATCCAACTTTTGCTTAAAGTATTATTTTTTCCTTCATATTCCGTATTAGCATGAAGTATTCCAACATAAATGGATAATTTGCTGTCATTAACACATCTTCTAGATACACAGGATATTCAACACGTGTCCTCATGCACACTGTCTCAAAGCAGCATTTAATTACAGCTTCTCATTAAACAGAGCATTTATCTTACACATTTTGATACCATTTTGGTACACAATTTTTCCATATTTTCATTTTACATATTTACAAACTTCTCAAAAGTCTTACAGTAATGCAAAGGTTGTTATTACTGGCATTAGCAAAAGGAACCAGGGAAGAGCTGGGTGGATGTAGATACCAAGTTGTCTTTGGCTGGGAGAAAGACAACAGACAGAAGCTTTCCGTAGCTGGGCCTCCCCAGCATGAGTGCCATGGGCCCTGCTGCAGTCCCTGCTTCTCACTGGGGTTACACCTCTTTGCCAGGTCTGGGGAAGTTTACCACCCAACACCAGCAATTTTTAAAGCAAATGCTACTGAAAATGTATGCCACAAATGGCTTGCACTCAATGGTTACTGGTGTCTGAAACATCCTTCTTGCCACTGTGTTCATGGAAGGCTTGCAGTTACTTAAGAGACAGCACCTCCTTCAGAGGATGAACACCATGTGCTGTCTCATTTTATACAGCCCCACTACTGATGGAAATAATTACTTCAACAGTAATGAAAGGACAACCAGGCTAGTTTCTTAGCCAGATGTCTTTTGTTTCACCCTTAAGTTACAATACTTAGAGGTGAATTTATGCCATCTATTCCCAAGCTGTTTACAGTCCCTGTTGTAATATTCCTCAAATGCTGTCTCTGCTTTCTAGTTGTGAAAATAAGAAGGGTGAAACTGAGATTTCTTACTGGCAAAACTATTTCCTCGCTTGCTTCACAACTTTTGCCTTTACTGTATATTGAATTTGCTGTGACAGTACTTCATTCAACCAAGCTTACAGCTACACGCTAGCAATTTCCCAAGGATATTTTGCATGGCAAACATTGCTTAAATATAATCTCTAAAAACTAACAAGGAAACGATTTTCTCACTATTTTCATAGTGAGATTCTTATCATTTCCCATTCTCAACTTTTTCATTTCCACTTCGAATGTAGTGATGCAGAAAAGTTAATGCAAACAACACAGCAAGTGAAATGGAGAACATCTTAGGAAAAAATCATCATCTCAAAAGTTAGATTAAAAATAGCTTCTTTAGTGAATGAAATCCCAGCGCTTGACACTGTATTTCAGGGTTAACTGTAACCATCAGTGCAGACTGCGATAAGAAACAGGAATACACTTGCACATTGGTCAAATCAAATGTTTTATCTGTTCAGAACAATTTAGAACAGAATTAAGAAATATCTGAGCCAAACAGATGGAATATGTAAGGATCATGTAAATATCAGTGTTTGAAGACCCACTTCCTGTACTCACTCCAAACGGAAGTCAAAAGGACTTAGGGTATATGTGGGATGCTGAGGTGGCTTCCAAGTCTGACTCTGCACATCTAAACAGCGGTGAGTCTCAGGAGAGGTGGCTGGGGAACAGTAAGTAAGAATGGGCCCTCTGATTTTAGGATACAAAGATCATCTCCCATACTTGTTAAAAAACAAGCCTAAGAGGAAGCACTGAGGGTACAGCTTCCTATGATCACTGGAGAAACAAAACACCACTAACTCAAACACTTCTTTAGTGTTTTCCTATACATTCTTCTACTAAACTGACACCATTAAGAAATCAAAGGGAAAACCCTTCCCTTCCTCCCCAGCAGTTTCCTTGCTTTAACCGTACAATAGTACTTTGGCTTCTAACACTTAAGTGATCCCTGGTCTTAAATTTCAAATACCCTCAAAATATTTCACAGCTCTATTTTAGAGTTCTCTCTCACACACACGCAGTATCTTACTACAATTACCTTTAGCAGAGCACCAATTTAATGTGAACTATTCTATGACAGCAAGGGTGCAACCATATGAGGCAGGTCCTTTGGTCCTTTCTAAGCAAACTGCTTGGAACTGTCCTGTGAAGTCTCCCCTTCACGATCCTGAACAGCTGCCAGGAGGTTCCTGCAGTAGGAATGGTCTACAACAGTTGTTGCATCAAAGCAGAACAAACCTTATTTTTCCCCAGTCTAATCCAGAAAGTCTAATAGGACTTCAATCTCCTGTTTAACTACTTCAGTGAGGAGCACAATTTCCTAGTGTAAGCCAGCACCATTTTTTGTTGAACACCTTACGGTGCTTTAGAGTCTTCTACAGCAGCGGGGTGGAGAAATTTTACAAGAGTAAATCACAGTTACAAATTCATGGAAAAGAAAGATACCTGTACTCAAGTACCTGAAAACAAAAGTATTGAGAGACAAACAGCATCCACTTAATGAACCGAACAATGGTGTAGGAGAAAACCAACTTTCAAACAGAAGCAGCATTGTACTAGGAATACTTAATTCCCATCTAACTTTGTTCCAGGACAGACTGCAATACAGATAATCTCAAAACATGCTAGTAAAAGTTCTGGCCAGTATAGGTGGTGACTGTTGCATGACAGAGAAGTTGAACTACACAGAACGTGCTCAAAAGCCAACTCTGATGCACATTCAATACATAAGCAACCACGACTGTTCCTGGGATGTAGGTTAACTATCTACTAATACATCTTAAGGAAAAATCCTGATGTAGAAAAAGCCTCTAAAAATGAAATGTTTAGAATTTGTAAATTCGCTATGAAGCTTTCATACTGTATTCTCTGTAACAATCACCCCCAGCATACAAAAATACCAGAAAGAGGAGTACTGGCTTCCTTCTGGGATTTGTTGCTGTCTAAGTAGCTCCATTTGAACAGGCTGGTTAGAAAAGCAAAACAAAACCCAAACCAGACACTTCTGTTGTGGCAGTAAAACATGATATAAAACATACATTAGGCAAATAGTTTTGCATCACTGAGGCTATTTGGCTCACTCGAACTTGACTATTTGCACATACCTAGCACTTATAAGTCTGGTAAACTCATTTCAATGAATTACAAAAATGGTCTTAAGTCTGTATCACTTTGAAGAATGGAAAGCTTGTGTTTTCTTGCATCAAACAACAACAACAAAAACAACAAAAGAGAGAAAGCCCTAAGACACTTCATTCCCCGCCTCCAGCTCAAAAAACTAAGGTAGGCAATCGGAAGCAAAACGAGTCACATAACATGGACAATACACAAAGGAGCCAACACAAATGCAGCAGAGCAATGACAGTATGCTGTACATAACCCTCAAACCAAACCAACCCAAAAAACTAAGCAGCAAGGAAGCAATTTTAAAATCAGGATATAATCAGTGATACTTCTGAATGGAAATAGACTTAAAGACTAGTCCACAGGCATCCTGCTATGAGGCATTTTGTAAGACAGGTAAAACTCTTGATTTCTGAAGTTTTCACCACAACCCTTTCAAGCATTCTTTTCTTCAGTTTAAACTTTGTAAACAGAAACAGAAGCAGGATGTTCTTCCTGGGAGTCACTGTTCACATTGACAGCAGACTGCAAGGAAGCTAAGAAGTCGTCCATCTAGGAAAACTTCAAAATTAGTTTAATTTCAGCTGAACAAGTCTGTCTACCTCAGAATCAATCACTGTCCGACTCCTCTTTATACTTGGCTCTAATAGCTTGGCCGTTCTGAAGCGGCATTTCTTCATAGTCACTCCTGTGAAAGAGATACTTGTGAAAACTTCTGAACACAGTGTTTAGATGGGAAGTCCAAAGTAAACAGGAAAATTATAAACCACACTGAAGCATTAAATTGTTATTAGGGTAAGAATCTGGTATCTTCCTTCCCTGCTGGAAGTATGAACAATATATATGACTTTTCCTTAGAGGATGATGCATAATAGAAGTTATTCCAGCAACTACAAGCCACTTTTCATAAGGATCCACACAGAATCAAGCTGATACTACCACTACTCATCAATCTAAACAAAAGCAAGCTAGCTCAGACAAACATATAGCTAGTCTAGCACAAATTTGCTCAGTTCCCAGTGTTAATCCCATCCTCACTGTTCTGGCCACTTCAGTCAGTGTCTTTAGTAAAAGGTGAAAGTATCAAGGGCAGCTAACGCATTTGTTCAGTGTCCAACACAGACACACCTGACAGGGATGGGTTTTAAGTACTACTATAATTCTCCTATTACAGAAACTCACACAAGTCTGGGACTTTTTTGTTAGATTTGATTATTATTACTGCAGTCAGTGATGGACTTCAGAAGAGCCCTTCTCCTTCCATGAAATATTTATACAGGAGCTGCCCCTGTGTCAGATCCACCCGACTTCCTTCCTGGTTTCAGAGGAAGCCTTTTCCTTTCACAGCTCTTGGTGCTTTCACCCCATGACCTACCAGCAGCCTACAGGTGCTTTCTTACCTGTTTGTATCAGTGTCACAGCAATCCCTTTTAGAAACCGAAAAAAGACAAGACAACATGCACTCTCGTTGCATTTCTATTTCAGAATAAGACTGACTCTGTTCAGAATACTTTCACTAACAACCTACAAATTCTTCACCTATTTAATGAACATGGAAAAGAACATTACAAAAATAACACACCTAAAGTAACTCTCCATAGGTATTTTATAATCTTACCCATAAATCACATCATCATCTGAATCATTCAGCATAGAAAAAGCGGGATTGTCTTTCAACTGTGATTCTGGAAAATATAAATAAGAGTTAATAAATTAAATACATAAATGTGGCTGTACTTCTAACTCAGTGCTGTAGCAACAGATTTGACAATTCCCAAGGCAGTCATGACTACAATTCAATAAAACTATACCCAAACAGGAATTCTCTCCGTTAAATCCTTCACCCTTCATCCACAACATCATGGTATTCTTAAGAGATAATGTAACAATCTCATTTTTAGATAGATATTCTCCATGTGGTACAAGTGGATTTCCTCACTTGTGCAGGTTCCTATGTCATACTGTTTCAACCTGCTGATAAGAGTAATTAAGTCAGATTTAATTATTATTAATCATTATTGAAAAGCACAGACTTCTTTGACTTCTTGGTTATTTCTAAGCTACAAATACAGTAGACCAAGGCTGTAAGCCCTTGTATGCAAGTCAATGATTAGCTAGTTATTCTTCACCCTTGTAATAGGTAAAAGAAGGACTTGTACCTTTATGGTGAGATGAAAGGAAACACGTAACTTTCCATCGGTTATTTATGACAATTCCCTCTAAGGCCTTTATTTCTTGCATAATCTGTGCTGTTTAGCTGCCGTGCATAATTATATGCAAATAAAATTCAATCCAGCAACTTGCCATAAACATCTTTTTCCTGGAACTACCTTCTGCCGTCTATAAACTAGTCTTTCTTGTGATCCAACAGCAAGTTTGACTTTATTCTCACCCAGACATTTCTCGTCTTCTTAATGTGAAATCAGCATTTCCATAACAGTTCTACCTATATCAACTCTAAAATGTTCAGAGAAAGGACCAGCTCCACTGCAGCCTTCCCCCTGCATACCTGTCAGCACACAGGATGTTCTTGGGCAGGGTGATAATCTCATCTAGGCTGCCTTTCCCACGAAAGTTTGCACCAGATGATCTCTCCAGGTCCCTTCCAACCTGGGTTGCTCTATGGTCATGTATTTTAAACTCAATGTTTAAAGTGAAGAGTGACTCGGTACAAGTATTTACCGTATATATCTTTCTCAGTTAGAAACGGATGGTGTTTTATAAGCACCATGTGAGGCAGATTACATCCTCTACATAGGAATAATAATAAAAGTGCCACTAATTTGGTGGGCCCTGTGCAGCCCAACTGTGTTCCCCAAAATTCCTCCCATGTTGGAGATCAGCTTCACCCCTCCTTTTCCAACATCATGTTACCTGTTTCAGAATCCAGTTTGTCAGCATGCCCATATGTTAACCTTTCTTAGAACAAAGTATAAATGAATTATTGTTACTCCTTAAAGATTGTCTGTGAGTCCGTGCAGAAGCTGGTGCATCACATGCAAACATCATATTGACTATGAGCTTGATCTAAGTGCATAAGAATTCAAGGTTAGCTAATCAGTTGCATGCATTTTATGTGTTCCGTCATATTTCCAATGCTGCACTGCTCCTGAGCAAATTAATTTCTGCTTCAGTTAACTTTTCAAATTCAAACAGTATTCAAACTTTGCAAATTCAAATAGTAACACGACAACCAAAATATGAAGGCGTTACACAGTATCTGCTAATATGCCAGCTCATCATCTAAGCTCGCCAGACAATTGCTTACACTTACCATACAGTGCATTCTTTGAGGGGGAATACACGAAGGCTAATGTGTAGAGATAAAAATTCAATAAACCATAAAAAGATAAGAATTCTGCTGGTATTAAGTGTCAAGGATATTGCTCAATATAGCTCCATATACATACTAACTTTAGAAACAAGACCCAAAACGTACATAAGCTGGCTCAATGGAAAGGAAGTTTACCTTAATAAAGTTTGAGCACAAGAATGGCTAAACAAACCTGCATATTTTAAATTCAATGACCACTAATGCATGCAAGCCATTTCAAGGTAAAGCTCCCACTTGAAAAGAAAGCTTTAACACAAGCAACTTTTGCTGAGGTGAGGTCTACTCTTGAGAGGTGCAGCATATAATTCTGCCTTAGGTGCCTTATGAAAGCTGAGCAAGAAGGCTTCTTTCCTTCAGTTTTGGGAAAATGCTAAAGGTTTTACATACTGTTTTATACTAGCTCCCATCACATATCTATGCTTATCAGTAAGGGCACTTGCAGTTACACAGGCAATTTTAGAGTGGAATGAACCGGCACCTCATGGTTCAGGTCCAGAAATACAATTTGTAATCCTCCTGCCAACAGACATCAGAAACAGTCTCTCTCAAGTCACAGTTCTCTGCCATGACCTCTTCCATAGGTAGACTGGGACCAATACACAAATGCATTTTCAATGACTTCTAAACTGTTAATTTCTCAAATACTTTGGTACGCCCCATGCCAACTGACAGGTGTAGAGCAAGCTAAATTCATACAGCAAATACAGCCAAATGCGTTGCAATAACTTGTTAAAATTATTTGAATGCTTGCATATCTAGGCTTGCATTCCTTTCAAGAGTATTAAATGCAGTTCTGATTTATGTGATATAAACAAATTAGACTGAAACTGTCTCAACTCATAATCTTTACAAAGAGCCATTACAAAATGCTGACATGAAACCTTGATCAAAATGAACTGAACTTCAAAAGCTCATCTAAAAGTCAAAGATCTCTGTCCTTAGGTACATCATTTTAAAGTACATTCTACATGAAAAGAGATTAATATTCCTACTTGAGCAGTATCACAACACAAGGATATAATTCTGGTAATGAGTTGACAGCTCAGCAACAAAGTTGTCCTGTAGAACTTGTGCTCCAAAGCGCAGGTACAGTATAACAATGCTGTGGAAAAAAGTTAAAGCATACAGCTGTATTGTGCCTTTAAACTGCAAAGCTGAAATAGTAGCTTGATGGAAGAGTATATGAGAAAATAATTATGTTAATATGCTGTTTATTTTAAGACACATTTGCTTTCATAGTTCGAAATTAAGAATGATTCTTTTGTGATTAGAAGTCAGCAGTTAATTGAGTAAAGTGGAGAAAAAAATCCCCATGGTCTATTTCCCTCAGATTTCATCTGCTACAGACAATCCAAGAATCAACAGAAATTTGAACAAACTGCTTAACAATAATCTAAGTAACCAATTCTAAACTCCTGCTTTGACTAAGTGAAACTCAGGAGAGCTCCAAAAGAGATGAAGGGTGCACTGCAGACCACTCAGCAGTACAGAAAACATCTCTGCTAAGTGAACCTCTAAATCTTGCAGTGGTAATAGAGATAATGTAAAGTTAGCTCTAAAAGGGTCAAGAAGCATTAAAAAACTGAGAAATGCTTGCCGTAACAATCAGATCAAAAGACATTCCCCAGTTTCACTGACAATTTTATCAAGAAAATGCATTCAAAGCCCTAAAAAAAAGGGGTAATAAAGGTTACCGTACTGAGAAATATACTCTGAAAAGCCTTACCTAATGACAAGCACTACAAAGGTTAATGCAGTCAAGAATTTTAACCTGAGATCTGAAAAAGATTGAGAAAAGTTGTTATTAGTGAATTTACACCTCCACCCAAGACAAACAAGTCTGTCTGGGGAAGGATCAAAAGAAACACTCCTTACCAACATAAGGCATGTTACGAAGTTCTGAGCATGCCCTCACTATCAGGAACAGAAGGTAGAGAACGTATGTGGTTGCCACGACAAGGAAGAAGATTTTCATTCCCTGTAAGAAGAGTGCTAGTTTTTGTTATTTAACAAGACATGACCTATTCCTTCTTCCCCCAACAGTAATCATTATTTACCAAAGCACAACTTACAATGGTCTGTTTATTCAGGGGAAGTAGGCTTACAAATTAAAATAAGGATAGCTATACACTGAGGCAGGTTTTCGGGGAATGTAAAGAAAGGATGTTTAATAGAAGTCATCACTTTGTTCACGGAGTTCACAGTGAGCTGAATCTCAATGAGTTTCTAAAAGCACAGCTCCTGAGAACAGTACAACGACCCATATAAATCAGATCTTCCTTTACAACACAAAAGTCTGAAATTTACTAGGAGAGAGGATCTTGGCAGGAGCAAAGATGTACAAAATGGACTTAATAAGAGGCTTAAAAAATGTCTTTAAATCACAACAGTCATGAGCCTGCACTAAACTTGTGGTGTTGAGTCTCCAGATTTGCAAGACAATTTACTCTTTTCACTGGGATGGAGCTCCATATGGCCTAAGCACTATCTAAAGCAAAACTGGAAGTATCCTAGTCAGTATAACACCATCTGACCATCATTTGCTATTTTCTCAACTGTGTTACAGATTTTAATAGAAGGACAAACCATACCTCTTTACACTGCTTAACTCCACCTGACAAGTTAATAGGAACAAAACATTTCTGACTTACCTGGAAATTACCTGTGTCAACTCTGTATTGATATGTAGGATCATGTACTTCATTAACACTAGAGAGATTCAAAATGAGAAAGTGATACTTACACTATTAACAAAAGACAAGGTCAAAAAGTTATACTGACCAAGAAACCCACTAACAAAGGAAAGGGTTAAAGTTACTATACAGAGTTTATAACTAAGGGGTTTGACTGTAGAAATGGGTGCAATGCCACTGATTCCAATAGAGTCATGACAATAACATCCTCCTTCCCACGCCCAGTTTTGAAGGAATATGGAAGATTTCAGGTGTAAGCATGTCTAATCTCCCCACTTACTTTTTAGACAATGTATAACCTTGCAAATTCCTACAAGTCTTCAGGATTTAGTGTTTAATTTTTAGCCTGGTGATATGAATTATACTTAAGAAATAACTGTGGTATAAGCCCTTCCCTTACAGCAATTCTAATGATAGGTCACTAGCACGAGCATTGCTACAACTGCACTGTTTTCAATAACGTACAGCTGCATGGAAAACGTTAGAAGGTATCTTTCCTCTGAGACACAAGAGGCAAACACTGGAGACTAAAGAGGTTTAGAACTTACAAATGTACCAAAACTGAGAAAGTTTTCTGGCTGGGGAATAATAATACCTGTACGTTAACATATTGTTAACAAATTGGGTAACAAGAAACACTAAACCAAACACAAGAACTGAGTTTTGAGGAGCAGTAGCATAGCCTGACTAAGCAGCCTCAATAGCAATTGTGCAGGTTTAGTGGTTGAGTAAGTTTGGTCAAACTGTGTATGTTAACTACAGAGAAACTGTTCCTTCAAACACTAAAAGCTAATTCAGACATAGCACTAGAGGCAGTACTGTAGGGGGGTCATAACATAACGTCAAAGTAGCAATTTCTAGATCTCACACTGATGTATAAAATTAGGTACTACTAGATTGTCAATGGGAAATACTGTTTTCAAACCAGTCACAATTTGCAAAATAAAGATGTAAGAATTTGGACACCATTCCTACATCACAATTGTAGCATTAAGGAACAGATACTAATTCCAAACAATCTTCTCATTCTTGAACACTTTCAGCTCATTCCTTTTGCACTAAAGTTTAAATTACTTACGTTTGCCATATTCCCAATGTAACAGAGGCCAGCCACAGTAGTCCAACAATAAAGAATTTGGGCAGATAGAAAGTTAAGCACTTCCTTTCCCCCTGTTGAGAAAACAGCACTCTGGTGAGGGAGTGAACCCACATTTGAGATTACGTTCATTCTTGACAGGATAAAGTAACTATCATCTTTGTTTCATTCAACACAAACTAGTTTAAGAGACTTGTTTCACCTGCACAGGTGATTACAGAAGACATAAAATTGTCATCATTTGTGAAAATAAGATGCTGCAAATTTGGAGCATCCTGTTTATAAGGTCCCATGTATTGCACTGAAACTGCAATATGGGAATATGCTCCAAAATTCATATTTATCTTATGCAGTAAAGTGGTTTAAACTAAACAATCAACCATCACATACAACAATAAAACCCTTCCAGCAAGAACAAAGCATAATGGCATCATAATTCTGAAGACTGTCTTGCAACAGTAGACTATACTATCTATCTCATTTAGACATGGTAGCCCCACAAGCTGACTTCACCACAAATCCTTTTAACTCCAAAGCCTCATGTGTCACAGTGTACTTTAAGAATCAAATAAATGTCTCCTTTCTAAAAATCTGGTTTCATTTTTATCACCTTTTGAGAGAACTGATAAAACAAGTACTGTCTTCTCAATAAGTCTCTTACCTGTACTCTTATACCATGATAGACGCAAAGCCAGAACAGTAACAATGCACACAGAAACAGTGACTGGAATAGATCATCCAGCATCCCGGGAAACCAGCTGTTCACCAGAAAAGAAAGGGGGAAAAATGGATCTGTAACAAAATAAGGGCAAAACAGAAAGTTAAACGAGGGGAAAAAGCACAGTCTTTCCATTATGAAAAGTAAAGCAGAATGTACTTCAGAGGAACAAAACCCCCTAGATCTTTCAAATTATACCAGTAAATTAAACTGAAATTTGCTGTGTCTTGAAGAAATTGACACAGAAAATGGTGCCTCCAGCAGCAATCCTCTGTGCTGTAGAAATAACCTGAAATGGTCCCAACATATCTAGAAGATTTCAGGTTTTATTAGACTTTCTACTAAATTACTTTTGGTGATGAGCTAAAAAATTATCACAGAAAGACTGAGAGGCAAATGTTATTTTGGTACTGCAAGAGAATGCCAGAGTTTGATGTAGTTACTGGACTAAAAGTAGCCTCCATTTTTAACTATAGTGCAAGTATCTGAAAAATGAAGAAGTAAGACTTAGCAAACACAGAAACTGCATTTACATGTTGCTGTATGAAAGGTTCAGAATGGTTGCAGCCACCTACTTCAGCTGGAGCTTTACACAGGTAAAGCTGACACTCACATAACTGAAAAGAATGAAATCCACCTACTCATTATGCCCTTGAATTTGATATACTTAAAGCTTAGGGTTTTGGTTGGTTGGTTGGTTTTTAATTAGTTTTCTGAAGCATTATAAAGACCCGCTTGTAAGTTCAAGGCCAATTTTCATTTTATCTTCCCCCTCTCTCTCATGCACTCTTTTTTTATTTTTATTTTCCTTTGTTAAAAAAAAAGGAGCTTTTCTAAAAAAATCCAGGCTACAAGTACCATTGTAAAGTAGCAGGAGGGGAAGGAGGATGGACATCCATTTCTGTTCAATACCCCAGTCTCTCATGGAGAATTTCCGCAGGGAATGTGCAAACAGACACTATAAAACAACAAATGTGTAAGGAAGGAATACAGCCTTAGTGGTTTAATGAGAGTAAAGAGAGAACACAGCACATTGCAAAAGCTACTTCACTTTGCCACTGACAACACTGTAAACCAGAAACTACATCTCTTCTGCTTCAAGTTTGGTGGCTTACCCAATGCAAATTACTCAATCTTTCAAGCAAACTGAGAAGGAAATCAGCTAGTACTGTGCAAAGCAACAGTGTGTGAAAAAAAGTTGCCTGATTACTGGTCACACAGTACCAACAATTTCCACTTACTCACTTTTTAAAAGAAAAAGATTCCACATCACATCCACAATTACCTGCTGAGGGACATCTATGTGAGGAAAATGTGATGTAAGTTTTCATTGCTTCAGTGTCCCTACTCCAAAAATTCTGCACTTTAGACGTTATGGGTTTGTAGTTTTTTTTCCACAAATGCTTCTTTTCCAGTGCCAAGCCAGGTTGAAGGGGAGAGATAATCTAAATCATAGCATAATCTAGGTTGCAAGGGACCTCTGGAGGTAATGTGGCCTATCCTCACACTCAAGGCAGTTACAACTTTAAAGTTGGAACAAGGTTATATTCAGCTGAGTTTTCCTCATTTTCAGAGACAGAAAGCCCAAGCTCTGGGCCTGCCTGCACTGCAAAACAGTATTTTTTTTTAGCATCTAATCACAGTTTCCTTTGTTTAAGCAAAATTCTGTTAAATTCAAAATCAGAGTTTAGAAAAAACAAGTTTTCCCATTTATCCTATTTTCTTAACGTCCGTTCAATACCACTTGTAAAAACATAAAGCAGCAACTATGTACATATTGAAGAAACATTTTTACACCCATTCAGTGGTATCTCAAGTCTGCTGCCTGGGGTTAAGTTACTAAACACAGTACTACAAAGCAGTGTTATCAGCTGCCTACATAATATACTCCAGAAAAACTGAAATAGAATCTTACCGTGACCATGAAAGTAAGAACTACAAAGACAAATCGGAACCATATTTCCACTTGTGAAAAAGTTGGATTGTAGGTCTTCCACTACAAGAAAACAGAACAGCCCAATGAACACTGTTTTGACAGTACATACAACATCAATAATTAGCATTCTGCAGATACTGAAAAGTTCCTGGCTTTTCAAAATTGACAGGTATAACCAAGTTCCACCATATCACCATAGGAAGACAAATTCATACCACAGGACCACCTGATGAAAAGATAACTAAGCAGCTAATATCCTTGCTTCTCTTTTACCCTACCACTTCATAACAAAGTGTGCTGTCACACGTTAAAGTACTTTTCAGGACAAAAAGGGTATTGTTCATTGATTTCAATTACGCTTCCATTAGAAGTCTGAATGCCAATAATTGAGTAAATCCAGTACGTTCTTCCTTATTACCAAGGTCAGATGCATAAATGGATGATGAAGAGGTTGATAAGGTACAGGCACACTTTCTGTAATAGGCTTGTTTTCTTAAAGATTATTCTCTTAATTCAGAAAGGGAAAAAAGAAAATCAAGTAATGGAAGAATAAATGACCCAACCAGAAATAAACTTTTTTCATAGGCTAAAGAGGAAAAGCTCCTTCTCCTCTAATCATTGGAAGGGCACAAACACTAATTATAACATGTCAGTTTGCATAAACTCTGCTCTGTTGATAATTTATCTCATACCAGGCACACTTCTCTTTTGAAGCCATTTTTGAAATGTAAACTGGGTACAACATAGGCTCTGCCCATCTAAACAATAAGCTCTGCCTTTCAATGTATTATATCTGTCAATCTCTGTCTTTTTAAATCACAGATGTAGACTGAAAATTACAGGTACAGAATCCATTATGCAGAAGGCGAACTATGGTTTCAACTGAGCTCACCATGAACCATTATAAGAATGAAATAAACTGACAATTTTAGTTGCTGCAGGAAAGCAGAGCTTTGGGTTTGTTTTTTGGGGGTTGTGCACAAGTCTGCCTTAGAGACGGCCTGCAAAGCAAGGTAATAAACCGTACACTTTGTCCTGTTTGAAATCTGCAATTAAGCAAAGGGTTTGTGAGTTTGGTTCGTTTCTCCTTAGAGCTTATTTTTAATAATGTGCTTTATGTGCTGGAAATATTACAGATACTATTATTCAGGAAGTTCATTTAGTATATGAAAAACACTTTGCTTTGCTCTGACATACCAAATGTTGCATACAGGTAGATTATACCATAATAACCTGCATTATAAATTGTGTTTAATTCCACTGTCTCCCAATATAAATGTTTCTAAACTTCTTTCTGAAGCTAGCCAGCACACACGGATGAGGTAACTGTTTTAAAAGCAATCTTCAGCGCTACTGAACCAGTTATTTCACTAGGGATTATTTTAGTGAATTATTTTAATAGCCTGCTTATTTTAGCTACATAAACATTTTTCTCTTCCTCATAAGCACAGCCAAAAAAAAACCCAGATAACTCTTCATGTATCTTTGGGTTTGTTAAATATTTCTAGCCCACACTTTTGTAAAGGCTGGAAAATGTTGCTAATTCAAATGCACCTCCAGGAGAGGCTGAAAAAGATACTGTGATTTAGAGAGCCAACATCCTTATAAGCAAATGCAGAAAACTGGATGTTCTAGTCTAGCTTGCCTAATGTTAAAAATATCCCCCAGGAATCAGACTAAATTTATCTCCTCCAGAAAACAGCATTAACAGTTCTGGAAGAAAAATCTTTCCTTATAAAAAAATTGGTCTAGACCCTTATTAACTGCAAACACTGTAACAGTTCAGCCATTGAATATTAATTGTGATGGATCTTTATGTTTATCTTGAAAAATGAGATAACTTTTTGTTATAGAATCATAGAATCAACTAGGATGGAAAAGACCTTTAAGATTATCAAGTCCAACCATTACCCCAGGACTGCCAAGTCCTCCACTAAACCGTATCACTGAGGGCCTTTAATTAAAGCAGACTTCCATGGCATTAGTAATTAAAGAGTTTTCTTCTGCTAATATAAAGCTTTATACTTACTGTGAAAGTAATATTCTGGATGTACGTTAACTTGTTTAGATCTTCAAAGCTAACAAATATGTTGTACTGAGTGTAGTTCAGGTAGCCAAGGTGAGCAACAATGATTTCACTGCATTTCTGTGAATGCATACATAGAATAGTATGTAAAAAAATTCAATTTATTCCAGAATATGCACTATAAGTATAGGTTGAGAATTTGTTTCTAAACAGTCAGATATCGATAATATTTATTACATGCCTTGACAATCTTCATCAGAAGACTCAAACTAGACACACAATAGCAAACTTCTTGAAAGGTACCAAAGCAGAACGAACTGATATAGTCAGTCAGCAGGATCAAAGGTTGAACTGATAAACAAGGCTAGCTTTTCACTTAAGCTGGTGACAGCAGCTGCTTGCAGTACTGGGAAGGATAACTGTCAGTCAAGCTCTAAGTCACTGGATTGTGAAATGAGGCTATCTTGTAGTAACTCATTTCTAGAAGTTATCACGAGGAAGGAGAAAACTCAAGCATATTTCTCTCTTGGCTGTGTGTAATTAAATCTAAAGGAACTCTATTCATCAGTTTCTGCAGCTTTTGCATATATGTGTATACACATATAAAAACAAAATATTTTATTTACTCTATATGCTTATCACAAAAAAATTCAGCTATGCTCCTCCTTAAAGGACTTGCACCAGGAGAAGCCATTTTGGATGTCTGAGCTTAAAAATTTCAGTGAAAATGAAACTAGAAACTCAAAACCTTAAACATTTCTTCACAGGTGGCAAGAAATCTAGCTTTTTTAGAACGCGGACACCAGCTGATTTAAACCAGACTCTATGCTAGGTATTAGAGGAGAATTTTTCTTTCCTCTGGAGCCCTTTATCCAATTTTCTACAATATCCCTTTCTTCAGCACTGCTAAATCTGCTTAAGTGACTAAGCAGGGCTCACTGCTTAGGGAGCTACTTTAATAAGAGGCATCTTCAAGGGGTAACAGACACGAGTCATAGAAGTAAACATAAGAAGATGGATGGGTAGGTATCTTGGTCAGAATTACTAGCTAGGTTGCAATTATAAATAGGAACATACTCTAGAGTCGTTCCTGAGACAAGCTTAACAGATGTATTTTTCTCATTTGCAATGTAATGTAACATGCACACAAACAGATTTAAAGAAAATGTACTGCATAGGCTTTGTTTAAAAAGGCACATACTTGCGAACAACTGAGTAATCTTGTCCGATTGTGAACCTGATTATTAACATAGGGTGTGCTTCCATCCTTCACCACTCCAAGTACTTTGACTGTCATAGTAACATTCTTTTTGAGGGATACTGTAATTAAAAGAGAAAACATTAAGCTATTGCTACATGCAGAAATGAAAATTCAGAGTTCCAAATACAGTTTAAAACACATATTGATATCCAAAGATTACTCAAAGTTATTAAGTTATACTTTACTAGAGATCCAGTATATTAATAAAAACCCACAAAACTTTTTTCTTTATATACTTAGACAGTATGCCACAAATGCTCTGTACTGAATCTTGACAGACTAACAATGACTAATACAGTATTTCTCACATATTTACAGGGAACCTTTATAGAAAAAATTAGTATCATTACAATCTACACATCTAATTCCCTCCAAAATTAAAGAAGAGAGACACAGATTTTCTAGATACTATTGCTTTCACATAAATAACAAACAACTTATCCCATATACCTGTTGCTTCCAGTTCCCAAGATCAGTGCTGTCCATGTCTTTACTGGGGCAGGGGGAAGAAAATGTATCAGAGGAAAAACCCACCAACCATACCAGAAAGCAACAGGATCACTTATGTGACAGATGAAATTGAAGATACAATATACAGGGTTACTATAGCAGTTTTCTGAGAATTGGTAAGATTCTCACCATCAGGCTGATCCAACTCAACTATGCAGGTTAGCCACAGCTGCTGGTTGTAAGTAGACAGTGGTGGTGAACTTAAATTAAATGGCTTCAGCTGTAAAAAAAAACCCACCTGGTTAGCACCATCCATTATTCTGTTATATATCTGTAGTCACAATGAGCAAAGACATGTTCATTATGTTTGTGACACTGTATTTGGGAATAGATATAATATGTGCTGTTCTGTGGACAGTCCAATAAGCAGCTCAAATAAAAGTCTTACAGAGAAGTAGCTTAAATAGCACATGTATTTTGCACATCATACGTGTAAGGAAAGCACATACAAGCAGCAGCAATAGGCAAAAAAAGTTCAGATATGAAAAACAAAATCCTGAGACTTAGCCTGAAAATAAAAAGTCATTTCTAGCATTTTCCGTCAAAAGTCAGATTTGTGACCCCTCAGTTTTAGGCCTGTTATAATTGTGAAAAACAACAGGTGTTTTCCACTACATTTTCTAAAAATCGCATATGAATTTCAAAAGCACAGAAGATATCATTACCAGATCAAACCCACAAGCAGGAATGACTTCTCTTATTTGATATAAAAATGCACTTAAAAGAAAATCCACCCATAATGTGATATCAAGCCAAGCACATACAGGTGGCTCATAGACAACAAAAAAATAATGTTCCAGTGTATCTAAAGAAAAATTACTTTAAAATCCCTCAAAACAAAGCAACAAAACCTTCTTAGCACTTTCACCAAAATTCCTTCAGATACTAGGTTGACAGTACAGAGCTAGACAGAAATAAAAATGCAAGAAGTGAGAACCCAACTACGAGAGCTTTCAAGAAAACAAATGTGAAGGTTTCCCAGTAAAAAATTAAATACTTACAATAATTGGGGGATGGGGGAAATGTTCAACATTACTGACATCAAATAAAGCCATTCCTGTAATCCAACGTTATTTATTAACTCTTACCTTTAGGCTGTTATTTAAATCAGTTCTTGCTACAGAAGTTTCGATTACATTAGGGCCTACACAACACATAAGAAAGAAGACAGAAAACAATACTGAAGTATTCATATTACTGACGTAAATACATGACTTCAAAAACATCTCCATGCAAAGCAGGTAAATAGTATCCCACTTTTCAGGTATTTAAGCTGATGGAGAAATAAATCACTTAAGACATTTCAGTATCATTAATAAAATTGGCCTGAATGTTTCTTTAAGCTTCTCTGCCATAGGATTTCTAATCATGTTTAAATAGGAAGTAAATTATAAATCAAGAGCTCCATGTCAGAAGCCCGGCATGTGTACTCTAAACTGCTACAACAACCCACACAGTAATTTTGCCAAGCTAAGCTGTATACTGCAGTTATGAAAGTATTCAGTTACAGAAAAAGGTAGCTAAGTTAGCTAAGCTAGCTAACACTGTTGTTACAGCACCTTGAAGCTCAACAAGGGCTGCAAAACCCACCTGAGAAACCAGCATATTTAACTGCACTATAAAGTTTCTACAGCTAAACTACTGCTGTTACCTGATCTACATAGAGCATTGTATCCATAATGCATTGCACTCAAGGCTTGGGTACCATGGCAAACGCTTCTCACAGCATTTGGGTGAATTTATGTATGAGTACCACAATTATGTGTCCAATCACAGTAACAGTACTTCCTGCCTAGTGTTTGGTTTTCATTGCATTAGTCTGTACAAGCCAATATACCCATGTGTTTGGTTGGGAACAGTTCTCAGTCTACTCAGACTGGCCCCCCCCTTTCCTATAGAAATCTGAGGCTGTAATATATAATGTATATAGTTGCATAAATAAACAGAATTGCAGAAAAGTTCTATAAACAATTCCTGCTAAAACAGACAATCTGTTTACTCAATAGAGTTTCATGTCCAATTATAGTAGATGGTTCAGCTTGCTGCCAGACTTTTTATGCAACCATTCCTTCAATCATTTTGCATACAGACAACACACAAGTACTCATCAACAGCATCCATCCACTCACACCCTACCTCTAGTTCTGTATGCAATAAATGGGAAGCAATAAAACAATAATTTATGTTAGAAGAGACCTTCAGAGGCTATCTAGTCCACCATTTTGCCTAATTAGACCATATTGATCAGGCTGCTATCAAATCTTGAACATCTGCAAGGACAGAGACTCCCACAGCCTCCCTGGGTAACCTGTTCCAGTATAGAATCATAGAACAGTTAGGGTTGCAAACGACATTAAGATCACCTAGTTTCAAACCCCCTGCCATGGGCAGGGACACCTCACACTAAACCATGTCAGCAAAGGCTCGGCCCAATCTGGCCTTGAACACTGCCAGGGATGGAGCATTCACAACTTGCTTGGGCAACCCATTCCAGTACCTCACCACTCTCACAGTAAAGAAGGATTTAACCACTTTTATGGTAGAAAAAAAATTCCTAATATCTTGCTGGAATTTCTTGTGCTCCAGCTTGTCTGTTGCCTCTCACCCTATTATCATGCACCACTGAGAACAGCCTAGCCATATCTTCTGAGTACCCTATGATAAGGTTGTTGCAGACAGCAGTATGGTTTCCCCTTAGCTGCCCTAGGTATGCAAGAACACAAGATACTGGGGAGAAGAGGAATGCATGTGTGTATGTACATACACAAGAGTATTCATGCATGCCTGTGTATATATATATGAAAGGTCTAAACCAGAAAAATTAAATGGAAGAGTAGGAAAAGGTCTGCATCTATATACCGGGGTGTGAACAGACAGGGAAGAGATGTATAGCATGTAGAGACACAGGCAGGATGTATGCGTGTGCATTTGGGTCACTCTAGAGGCTTCCCAGCCACAGTACAATTTCTCTGCCTAAATGGTCTCTCCCCTTACATATTTGGTCTGGCAATTTAATGTAATTTATTAATTCTCAAAACAGGCTGTTTCAGCCACAAACTTAAGTATTAAAAAATAATATAAAGAAAAGCAATTTTTCACAAAAAATGTGAACTTCAAAGTTTCTACAGAGAAACTGTGGAAAAGAAGGAAGTTTACAAACGAGCAACATGGGATCATTCTGTGCAAGAAGTATTTCAGGTTAGCTGTCATGACAGCTCTAAACATGCAGCATTGGTTGGGCTTCTACAACCACTTGACTACAGTATTAACAACCTTACAAACTATAAATGGAAAACTGAAGAATTTCACCCATCACACTCAAAATGTTGTATTAGAATTACAGTTCAGCTTCACTAACAGCCACTCACTACAAAGTCAGCTTCACATCACTGAACTTTTCAGTTCTCGAGTACATATAAAGAGGGCAAATTTTTGGATGGCATTTTTGTTTTGAACAGTACAGCTGAAATCCAGTAAGTGCTCATAGTTGATGACTCATTGTATTTCAGTAATTAAGCCTTAACAAACCCAACAGAATGAGCCCTTTTTAGAAGTTGGGGGGTTTTACCAGAAGGCATGAGCCAGTACTGGGGGAAAGAGATCACAGTCCCAGTTTTTAAGAGCAGCAACCATAACAAAATAAATTATGAGGTTCTACTCTTCTAGCAACCAACACATCAAAACAATGCTGTGGTCATATTATTAAAATATGGTGATTTAATTATACTGTTATTGTTTTTCTTTTAGTCTTGCTCAGTTAACAGAATGACATCTGAAAGCAAAGAACCACACTGAGGTGGTGAACAGAAGAACTACACAGGTACAGAAAATGAGCTCTGCACCTTGGATTTTCCTTGCACTTGTCTTACCCCAAAACTGACACAGACCTATTGGGAAAAGGGAAAGAAAAGTGTAACTTGGAGGAAAAAAAAAGGAAAACAACAAGTCTGCATCTGCCTTGTGTTACAAGAACTGAAAAACAACAGCTACCTTAAATTGTCTTCTCAGATGAAAACCAAGACTTCTGCTCGGCTTATGAAACTGCAGATAAGAGATGTTGAGTATGGGCAATTGCATAGTCAAGTGGCACAGTAAATATGGATGCATCTCCCACATTTTCACTTATGTAAGGGGGTTTGGTGAGTTTTGCTCAGACTGCACACTTTAATGAGGGAGGACTCTGTTGTTAGTGCCCCTCTGTTCACAGGCAACAAGGACCTGTCAATGAAAGCCTCAAAAAACATCACTGTAAGTATTCAGTGAGTCTTCTCCCAAGGTAAAGAGCATTACTTTAAAAATAATTAAGCTATAATAATGAACTGTGTTCATGCTCTGTCAACAAAACTATCCAGCAAACCAGTCTTACAAGGACAAAAATCCTAAATCCATTCCTGAAAGGGGACTGTAGGTGAATCCTGGCACCCTAGCAGCAGGGTATATATGAGCTGCTTACAGCAGTCAAGTCCCCTGAACCAAAGGGTAACCACATCATCAGATCAAGCTGCACGCAGACACAATGCAACACACTAACATAGCTCTCTTTCAGGTTCTCCTACCGATTAAGAATTAAATGTTTAGTTTTCTCTTCCAGGAGCACTGCTTTTTGCCTAGTCTTACGCAAAACAACTTGCTTTCATTTCTTGCAACTGAGCAGTATAAATACACAAGTACAAATATGGTTCACTTTTTAAGCCAAATAGCAAAATGACACTAAATCAAGTTATTCCAGGGATTTTTTTTCCCTTTATCATTCATATAAAATGAATCTTTGCAAATGTGTTTATATGGGATTTTAGTGGCCAAATAACGCCCTTCAGCAAGTATCCTTAGGAAAATCACAGGAATATTTCAGTTTAACCTTTATGAACTGGAAGTCTGTTTGGAACTTAGTTTGCTACAATAAATCAAACATAAACAAATTTCATTATTTAATGCTATTATGAAGAATGTACTGCCTATAAGGCACAGATGGGCACAAAAAGCCCAAACAGCTGCCTCCAATTAACCCCCCTTTCCAAGGCAGGCAGAAACAGATGAGTCCCTGGGCAGCCTGCCTCATTCAGAAGGAGGTGAAGAACAGGGCAGTGGTAGAGACAACCTTACAGGCAGGTCAAGAGGTATCAGACAGTGGCACAGGAGAACCTGCTGGGTGACGTGAAAATAGCAGTAAAGCGGGGGGAGGTGGTAACATCCTTATAATTCTTATATGGGGGCAGGTTGCTTATTGAGTACAAATCCTCCCCCTCTCCCTAACTTCTGTGCTGAAAAAAGCTCCCCTGACAGCAGAGTATTAGCTTACTAATATAGCATGGACAGCATGCTGACTTCTTCTGCAAGTACATTTTAGACCTGGAGAAGCTCTCTGGCATGAAATACAGAGGGCTCCCACGCTTTCCATCTGTTTAATGACACTCTGCGTCTCTATCGACCAGACTTGCACTGAATGATCTCTGATCTCCCAGGACAAGTATCCAGGCACTAAGTGCTTAGCCTACAGATTGCCTCATGACTCCCACAAAGGTCTCTGTAACTAGAGACCGAAGCTCTGGTTTGACAACAGAAATACGTATTTTTTACATTACTAAAGTGTTTTGTATTTCTGTGGCATTTACCACCCAAGCATTTGGAAGGCTTTACAAACAGTTATCAATTTCCTCCACGGGGGGGGGGAACTAGCTATTAGCACCACCATTTTGCAGACTGAAATACACAGAAGAAACTTCTGTTGAAAAAATACATTACAATAAGGCTGGTTTTGTTTTACTTTACTGACTCTTCCCTGCAAGGCAGCTGCAAACACCAAATCTGTGTAGGTAGTACTCCTATGAGAAAATGAGATGGAAGAAACACTTCCCCCTCCCTGTGAAAAATAATGCTCCCTCAGACACCCCAGGGGCAGTAAGCTCATTAGCATTTAAATACATCTGTAAATACTAACAGGTTTAGACAAAGCATACAAGAACTGTAATCTTACAAAAATACAACATCCTTACCTGCTATTCCTATGAAGACTGTCAGACCAAAACAAACAAAGAATACTACAAAGACCAGAACAAAGTGCCGTTTGGACAGTGTATATAATCGCATAGGTGCCAGCCTACAGGAAGCAAAAGAAAGCAATGTATTAGTTGTCAGTCATACTTTTAAAAGGAGGGAGAGAACTGGCCCCATCCATTCCTCACACAGAAAATTAAACCAAACTCTGAGGTAACACTGAGGGGGGAAAAAAAAAAGTAAGGCTGTTTTATAGAGCAAGGGTAACTGCTAGGAATTATCAGACATATGTATACACATGCATGGGCGTCATGCCCCAAAATGTATGAATTTTGCCCACTCTTTTTATGCCAAGATTTTCTACTGTCCTAGGACTTGAGCTTGAAAAAGCATTTCTAGAGCAAGAAAAAGTGGTTTTAGTTCATACATTAGTAAGTTAAACATCTCAAATACTATGTCTCCTGCAATGACAGCTTAACCTAAGGGGACTGACATCACTTAACAACTCAGTTACCTGCACAGGGTCTTGATGAGCTTTCTGCACCCTATATCTAGAGCTACACTTCCTCCCTGAAGGGTCACCCCTAACACACAGTAAATCTGCTAGATGCTCAGATCCTGCATTCCTGCCTGAAGGCTACCAAAGCTTGGAAAATAGAAACCTGAACTTAAGTTCATTATTAGACACTTAAATACAAATATACATAAAAGCAATGACATCTCTTCCACAGCTGTTTGGTGGTTATCCTTAAGTTAAAGACAAACAAAGTATGGAAAGGACCAACTGCATTGTTCTGTTCTGTTAGCTTAAAGGAAAGTTGATCAAAGACGTGATCCTACATAATGTATCCCTCCTCTATCTCCCTTTTTCTTAAATGCGTAGTTCGAAAAATGACAAACCCCCATGTTTCAAAATACAGCCAACATTTCTTTTTTAGTTACACTGTGTAACTGAGCCACTGTAGAGCCAATTTGTGCTGCTGTTCCGGTAGGCATGATCACAGAAAGCTGTACAGTTTATATGGGAAAGCTATAGGATTGGAGGTGGGGCTGTCTTCTGATAAAGTTGTATGAGCACCATCATGGAAAGAAATGAAAGCGTAAGACTTTAATGACAGTGCTCCCTTTCAGCTTGGAATAAAATTTATTTTCACTAGCTGAATAGTGCTCTTCCTGATGAACCACACTACGAAGAAATGCAGAAAAGGTGGTGGAATCCTTTCCATAAGCCCAGCCTGAATTCTGGGACCAGGTACCGCAAGCGTGCATGTCTGGCAGCCCTTAAAAGCAAGGCAAACCATTCACTTTAAACCAGTAAAAAAGATTTATTAATACCTTTTGTTTTCTAAGAACCACTGCATTCTCTCCAAAGGAAGCACTACAAAAATAATTACATTATTCCTTTACTATAAAGATTGAAAGACATAAAGCTTAATTTAGGTCCTGAAGGAGACCAGGAAGGGAGGAAACCTCAACAGAAGTAATGAGAACTACAAGCAAGTAACTGTAAATGTTACAAGTTTGAACAAACTGGCTGTACAGGATTCCAGCCATAGCACCTGCAGAGTGTAACTTGCTTTGCCACATGCTGTTAGGCACAGCAAAAACACAGCAGCCTATGAAGTCCTAACAGTTGATTATGTAGGCAAAAAAAAGGTAAATTGTACATTAAATTAACACAGTCATAAACAGGGACAGATCAGATCTCTGTCACAGAGACCATCACACAGAATTCTCACAGACACTAAATACACTATTTAAAGTTGATTTTGAAAAATGCCAATTAATAGAGGCATTTCAAACCAGAACTTGTCTGTACAGGGATATATTTTACCAGGGATACATATTTGACAGGGATATATATTACCAGGGATATAACTACAGTATTTTCCTTAAATCAACATCTTAAAATCTCAGCCTTCATGCATTTAAACTTCTTTAAAGCTATTACATCTGTACTAGTACTAAACTAACTAAGGTACATTTTCGTGTTTGTTCCAAGGGCTCTTTCAGTTACCCGGAGGATCTGGTATTCCCTGTCTGCCTATTGATATTATGCATCAAGATGTATCTTGAGAGACCAAAACACTAATCTTAACAAGAAAATCCTTCATATACAAAAATGGTACATAAATGCCGGTATGCCTAAATTAACTGTAAGGGTCCAAGTGCATACCAAATGCTTTGTGAGACAGCACTGAGAATCACTTTCAATATACAGAACCAGGTCTGGATGGGAAAGTCCATGGGTTGAGAACTGCTGAGGACTTGAAGAGTATCAGATACATGCAGAAAAGTATCACATATGCTTGTGCTGTTTGTAACACCTTACATCAGGGCAGCTACAGCCTGATGCAGGACACTTCTGACTTCCTACACATACTCCTAGTTCTTTTGATAAGATTCCTAATTCCAAATTTTTACAGATATTTCAAAATGCGTAATGTGAACATGAAAAGCAGCTTCACCTCCAAAGTCCTTACAGAAAAGTTACCAGAGTTTGCCACCCAGCCAACACTCACAGTTTTACAGCCTTTGGTAATTATCACCTTCCATTACTCATATGCCAGAGCACAGATGTGCTCGCAAGCTTTCCAAGAAACACATTCCAGAGGTTGCCTCATTCTTTATTCCAACTCCTCTCCAGGCAGTGCAACACCTAAAAGTCAAATTGGGTAGGTGCACACCCACCTAAGAACAGTCATACTGGCACTTAACAAAGACAAGAGACCAGAAAACATTGTGTTTTCCCTTTTTCTGAAGAGAAACTCCTGCAGCCTCATTTAAGCCACTGATGGTTTGTGCTACTTTACAGGTCAGTAAGACAACATGGACACTTTTTGTAAAAGCAAATGTAAGAACTCAGCCAAATCTTAACTGCATTTATCATGACAACAAACAACAGCATTCCCATCGGGTGATTGCTCCTTGCTACAGTAACAGAATTTTTTTGTGTGGTTTAAGTGTCTCTTATCAACCTATCACCAGCTGACAAAGCAAGCAGATTACATTATCTTCCTGTACATTCTATTGTCGAACACCTGCCTTTTGGAAAGAGACTATATAAAGTTTATTAATCTATGTAAGTGCAAGTTGATGATCCCCACTAACAGCTTTCTGACACCTGAGAGGCCTAACAAAGAATATAATGTTTGAAAGGCATTTACAGGAAAAATGAAGAAGGCTACTCACTCTGGAAGCACCTGCTCAAATGAGTAAAGAACTGTGCTTTGCTTCATCAACAGAAGATGCTTTATTTGGCCTGGCCAAGGCAGTCCAAAGCTCAGGAGTGGTCATCCAAGCGCCTACAGAATTTTCAGGCAGCTTCCTCCACCTGCACTGAGTTTTATCGTAGCTCAGACACGAATTAAACAGTCTATAATTAAACTGGATATGTTTGAAACTAACTGCAAAGGAGCAGAAAGCACTGAGCTACAAACAGAAAAACATTATACTTAGACATCTCAAATAGTAGTCAGTAAAGGCTCAACCGCACTAACGCAACCTGTGCTAGAATGAACTATGGAAATGCACTGTCATAACAACTGCAGTCTTCCAGTAGCCGTTCACACACGAAATGGAGAGGTAAGTTAACTCTTGCTCTATGAGTAAAGCTTTGGCTCAAATGGGTAAGCAAAATATTTCTTAGGCTATTCCTCATTTCAAATAGCCTCTCATGCCTGCACAACACAGCCTTAACCAGAGTAAAGACCATCAAGAAAAACAGTCTCTTATACGGCAGTTTTCACTTCAGACTCCCACTTTACAGATGGGAAAGCTGTGACAAAATTGGGATTAAACAGTAGGTAGCACAGAGTTCATACTAAAATCAGAAATAACTTACTTTTACACAGAGCAGCTTCTCTGTCATACTGCCTCCAAACACTCTTTTCTATTTTAGGCTCGCTCCCAAATAAAACCATCAAAACCAGTCTGATTTGAATTATTACAGATGTTACCTACAACCACAGTACTGGGTCTGTCTGTACACATCACACCTTCTTAAAGACACTGCTTGCTTTGTTGTCCCTCAGGAGACCTTGAATTTTGTGCAGATGCAGTCCACAGTGGTTAATAACTAATGAGGAGGCACATGACTCTATAAAAGGATGCATACAATTAACATACTACATAGCACTTTTATAGGATGACTGACAGCTAACCGTGACTATGCTAAACAGCTTGTGTGCATGGGGTGGGTTTGGCTTTTCTTTTTTACATGTCCTGTTTGTTGTACTCATTGAAGACTGAATTAGTCATGACTGTGGCTCTGTCCAAGCGAAGACATATCCGGGAAAACAAGTTTTGCTTTTCCTTAACAGATCTAATATGAGAGTGGAGATAAGAGACCGGGCTATGCACCGCAGAAGAGAAAAAAAGCACAGCGTTATCCTAAGTGAAGTGGACAGTCCCTCTCGGGTTTTCTGACTGCCGAACCGCAGCCTCAGACACACTGATTTAACCCCCGGTGACCTTATTTCCTCAATAGGAATTAACGTGTATAAACTGAAGGACGGGATTCACCTCTTCATAGAGAAGCTTAAATCACTGCGCCCAGACAGCGCAAGGCATTTCTTCTTCCCGCCGCGGACGCGGACCCAAGCCAAGCAGCACATCCCGTCCCGGCAGCCTCGGCTCGGTGTGGGCGCCCCCCCCCCCCCAACACCGCGGACCGCCGGCAGCCCCGCTCAGGCGTGGGCACGCGCCCCGCCGGCCGTTCAACGGCTACTCCGGCCGCCAGCGCGAGGGGGGAGCGCGAACCCCCTCCCGGCCCGGCACACGCGACCACCCCGCTCCCGCTCCTCCTTCTCCTCCTCCCCGCCACTCACGGCTCCATCCCGGCGCCGCATGCGCGGAGGGGGCGGCACCTCCGCCCCCCGCCCTCGCCCGGGACCTGCCGCCGCTGCCGTGGCACGATCGTGAGCGGTGCCTCGCGGCGGCTTCCGCGTGCGTCACCCGCCCGCCACGCGACCCGGGAGACGTCACGATAACACCCGCCACTCCTTCGCCGCGAGGCCGAAGGGCGACACTGTTGGCGGCGGCGCTACGGCGAGCCGGAGGGGACACGGGCCGCGTTCTGCGGGTCGCGCCCCGGTGGCCAGG